AGATGATAGATATTTATTGGGTAGACATTCATTATATTTAAATTAACAAACAATTCTTGGGAATGTGTAAAACGACCCACACTGGAAATGATTCTGATTGCATGTTTTTGTTTGTTAAATAGTTTTTTTTATTTTATTTTTATATGTACTGCACCAAGCAATGTTTGCGTAATTAAGATGGCAATTAATAAATAAGAAATAAAAAAGCTTTAAGTAAGTTGGATTTAAAAAAGGCTTTGCTCTACAGAGTAGGCCAATGTTCCTTGAGATTTTATTTTCAAGAAAATGTATGTGATCTTTCCACGTCACATTTTCATCAAGAAGTACGCCAAGAAGTTTTAATGTGGTTTCTCTTTATATGTCCTGATTAGCAATACAAAGTTTTGGAAGTTTTAAAGGAATTTTATTTCGATCGTGAAAACGATGCAAAAAAGTATATTTTGTTTTGGTTTACATTTAGAGATAGTTTGTTTGCATTAAACCATTCAGTAAGATTTAATAGCTCTTAGTTTACTGACTTAAACAGAATATTTATATCGTTATGTGCGTAAAATAAATTTGTGTCGTCTGCAAATAAAATTGTATCTAGTTCAGTACAAGCATTGCTTGTATAATTAATATAAATGAGAAATAGAAGTGTTCCCAATATAGATCCCTGAGGAACCCCACATGCTATGTTCGTATTGGTCGTTTTACCTTCATTATTAGAAATGTATTGTTTTCTATTTGACAAATAGCTTTTAAACCACACAATATTTTAATGTTTAACACCATAGTTTTCTAATTTTATTAATAAAATGTAATTTTCGACAGAGTCAAAAGCCTTACTGAGATCAATAAATAAACCTAATGTATATTTATTTTCATCAAATGATTTAAAGATATCATGAACAAGATGAACAATGGCCTGATCAGTAGAGTGCCTCTTTTTAAACCCAAATTGCTTACTGTAAAGAATATTGTTTGCATCTAGAAAGAAATACAATTTTTTATACAAAATGTGTTCTAATAATTTTGAAAAGCATAATAGTATGGAAATAGGTCTGTAATTAGTGATACTAGTCTCATCTCCTGATTTTAGTATAGGTATTACCTTTGCAACTTTAAGTTTATCAGGAAAGATTCCTTGTTCTATAGAGAGCGTAAATATATGCAAAAGCGGGGTTTTTACATATGGTATTGATTTAATTATTACATTATTGCTTACATCATCAACTCCATTACCTTTATTTGGTTTAAGTAAGTATACAGCATCAAAAAATCTTTTTCTGTAAGCATGTAAGGTCGATTGTATTACTATTAGAGTTAAGGTACGATTTGAAGCAAGTTTTACTTTTTTCTACTTTTGATGCTAAACTTGGACCTGTGCTAACAAAAGCTTGGTTAAACGAATTAGCAATTATTGCATTGTTACTAATTTCACAGTCATTTATATTTAGTTTTTTTGGTAAGCAATTAGTATTCATATTTTTTTACCAATGATCTCTTTCATAATGTTTCAAGTTTTTTGACCGTCATTTTTGTATTTTAGTAATTGGCTATTATAGTAAAACTTTTTTGAGCGCTTTACAACTGTCACAAAAAGACGGTTATAGTTTTTATAGCTTGTTTCATTTTCAAATGTTCTTTTATTAATGAACTTTTCATTCATTGTAGCAATGTCTTTTTAATGATATATTTATGCTTTTTTAATGATATATTATAGCAATGTTTAATATATAATGATATGTTTTTTTTTCAATGATATATTATAGCAATATATTATATATATATAATATATTATATATTATAAAATTAGCAATATATTATATATATAATATATAATATACAATATAATATATAATATAATATATAGTAAGTATATATATATATATATATATATATATATATATATATATATATATATATATATATATATATATATATATATATATATATATATATATATATATATATATATATATATATATATATATATATATATATATATATATATATAAATATATACATGTATATATAATAATATATAATAATATAATATATATATATAGATATATATATATATATATATATATATATATATATATATATATATATATATATATATATATATATATAAATATATATATAATAATATATAATATATATAATAAATATATAATATATATATACAATATTTAATAAATATACAATATAAAATATATTAAATTTTTTTAAAACATTGTAGCAATGTTTTACAAATAAATAAACTATAAGTTTCAGGTTTCATGAAAAAATAAGCTATATAAAATAAAATGAATAAAAAAAGTTCTCAAACTTTATTTTAAATGACAAAGTTCATTATTTGTAATGTTTTTCAATTACGATGAAATATATACAATTATCAGTATTCTAAGTATTATACGATATATACTTGCAGTAAATTTTGTTTTGTTAAATGATTGGGATTTTGTATCACTAACATTATTAAGCAGATAGTCGTCAAAGTGTATTTCAAAGCTCATAATTTTTTGGCATATCATCAATAGTCATGTAGGCATACTGCGATGGTATTTATAAACAGAACTATTGTGGATAGAAACGGCACAAACACCAATTTTGTTGCTCGTTTTTGATCCACTAAAGTCTGTTTTAAACATTTTGCTGCAGAATATTACAATACAGAATGCAACTTAACAACTTTATACATGCAAAGATACAACATAACAAATGGTTGTGTTAAACGTAAACCACTGACGATAAAAGGGCCACCAAAAAAATATTTTATAAATTATATATATATATATTATAAAAAAACCATTCCATTATGTCAGCACTATTTATTTTGACGTATGTAAAAGGACTGTCAGCACTTTTCATTTTGAAATATGTAAACAAGAAGTTGTTAAAGAGACTACAGTGACTGATGATTTTCATAATTATTTTGTTACTGATGCGAAAAATCAGTGGTCATTGCAGGATGTTTCAAGAAGATATTCGTTTACTTTTATGTACGCAAAATGATTATCTTAATTTATATAACCAACTAGACTCGGCCAATAAAACAATAAAAAATCTTACTGAAGAAACCATCGGCTTGAAAGAAAAAAATTAAAAATCGCACAAATTATCCCATTGTGAAATAAGTAAAAATGATACATTACTGAAAATTATGACGGGTATACAAACAAGTGTAATGTATGATTGGTTATACAAGCGCTTTGAACATAAAGTTTTTTTTTTCACAAACTACCGTGACTCTTCTTCAAACAACACACAAAAAACAAATCAACCACCATGAAAAAGTTCGGTCCATCAACGAAAATTATTGGTAAAGATTTTATGCTTTTAACTTTAATGAAAATTCGAATGGGGTGTAGCCATAAAGACTTATTTTATTGTTTTGGTCTTTCAAAAGCTACTGTTTCTCGCACCCTTAGTACCGGGATTCCTTTTTTAGTACTTGAACTTATAATCTTAACTCTGTAAAATTTTTATTAAATTTTCACTCGGGAACTAAGTTTCAAAACAAAAAATTATTATCCAGAAATTTAAGCCATGTGGAGATAATGTGGTCTCGATACTAGACTGCACAGAAGGTCAATGTGAGCGACCAAAATTGCCAAAGAACAAGCTGAAACATATTCGAGTTACAAAAATCAAAAAATTTGGAAAAAAGCTATCGGTATACCACCTTCCGGAATGATTACTTATGTACCTCAATCATACGGTAGTTCATCCTCAGGCATACGGTAGTTCATCCTCAGGCATACGGTGGTTCATCTTCAATTGATATATTGTCAAAAACATCAAGTTACCTCAACACATTAAATGAAGGAGATATTATATTGGTGAATAAAGGATTCAATATCAGTGATCTTTTAGTTGT